GTCTGTCTGTCTGTCTCTCTCTCTCTCTCTCTCTCACCGAACATTATTCATTGTAAAATCCTATTCGCGTGCGTTAGTCTTTCGGCCCAACAAAGACTGTAGTTATTTTTTATTAATTAAAGTCAGTCAAATTTATTCGCCAATTACGTCATTTAATTTTCCCATTAACTTAAGTAATTGTAAAAGGCTTAGGTTTTAATCCGATTACATCCAGGGGATTAAGCGGATTAGGCGTAAAATCGCCCATACCTAAGATTCATCGAGTGTCACAAGGCGCGTGACTTAAGGTGAGTTCAACTCAGTTCGATAGAAGACAATTAAGCATAATCATATGACGTAAAGGCGAATACACGTACTATCATACGTGTTTAACGGAGCGGCGGTTAGTTCTGCATCGTGGGAGTTTGTTCTCAAATAAATTTTCCATTTTTCAGATAACCGCCTCCGTTACAGTATATATTAAAATTTATATAAAAAATGCTTTGTTTCATCAAAATTACTTTTAATTAACATATCGTTATGAAATAAAGTAAAAAGAAGAAGAAAAAAAAATACATACATACAATAATTATATAAAACTATTATATATTTTGCAACGATCGCCGATAATCGTTTTGACTCGCGTAGGTTACTAAGCGGCTGAGCGTAACAGCCGCGATCGGTTTGAGAGAGAGAGGGCGCGTTAGGGGCAATGACCGGGAGGGGAGAGTTGGATAGTCAGTATGACTATGACACTCAGTCCGGCTGCGTCGCAGATTTTACGAGTGAGAGACAACTGCGCGTGTGATATTCTTGAGCGAAATCCAGGAAGTCAAGTGCATCGATAGCGAGTGTGGAGCACGAGCGCGAGCACTGAGTAACGTGCGTGACCTCGACAGCTACGAGAGAAATCTCGGCAGCGTCAACAGCCGCGGCGGGACCTCAGGTGCAGAGGCAGCCCATCGACAGCCAGTTTAGACGGGTACGGTTGGCCACCGTATCCCCGACAACTCCGCGGTACGTGCACAAGTACTGCTTATTGTTATTAGCGTGCGATCCCGCACAGCGTGTGCGGTGAATTATAAAAAGCGTGCGAGCGACGAGTCCGCGGCGATCGCGATTTTCACTCTCTCTCTCCTTTTGTATTGTCATTCGATATTGCGTGCGGAAGTCTCTCGGCGAATCCCTCCCTTATATAAGCTTAGAGTAAATAAAGTGATCCGTGGTTAAAACGCAACGATCTCATTGTTTTGTCTTCCCTTTGTCCGAGAGCTGTGTTGTTGTTTACGTTTAATTCGAACGCGCCGGTAGTTTGGCACGGATCGCGTAGGCAACATAGGAAGCGGCTAGCCAACCGAGTTGTCGGCAGTGGCCAACGGAGCGCTGTGAAGCGAGCGAGCCAGCGCCCCTAGCGGAGAGAGCGAGAACCCAACTTGGGACGGTAAGAGAACTCTGCGCAGGCGCACTCCCGGACAAGGTGAGTTAATGTGCTTATAGCACATAGATAACAAGGCGTCGTTTGACCATAGGAATAGATATATTCAACAGGGATTGAAGGTTAAACGGCGGCCTGTTACAATTTAAAATAATAATGAGTAATGTGTTCAACTGAACTAAATATATTTAAATTTCGCAGCACACTGCCTTAAAACAAAAACGCTTTCGTCGACTTGCGACCTTCTCACTCAAGTACCAAAACTCAACTCTTTCTTTCTCTTGAATAGCGCTACCACCTAACTTATAGTTAACGCCATCTAGTTTTCCTTTTAAAAATTAATCTTGATTAAATATAACAATATTTTATTCAAATAACAAAAACTATTATATCTATATTGCAACGATTGCCGAAAATCGTTAGGACTCGCGTAGACTGTCGAGCGTGGCTAAGTGTTATAGCCGTGATTGACTTAGGTTAGAGAGAGAGAGAGGACGCGTTAGGGGCAATGACCGGGAGGGGAGAGGTAGCGAGCCAGTATGTCTGTGTTCTTCAGTCCGGCGACATCGCAGTTTTTTCGATCGGAAGCAACAACGAGTTAAGCCGTGCCAATTAGTATACAGCAGGACTAAATAGATAATTTGTGAGTGGAGTGACGAGTGCGCATACTGCGTAACGTGTGCGGCGTCGGCAGCAGCGACCACAACTTCAGTTGCACCCACGGCGCAACGCAACTACAGCAGCGAAGGGCGGTTGCAAAGGCAGTTCGTCGTTTTAGCGTAATCGGATACGTTTGGCCACCGTATCCACTTCAGATCAGCGGTAAGTGCGCTGCACTTTGTAATTTGTTTTGCGTGCGATCTCGCGCAGCGTGCGCGATGAGCTTTAGGTAGCGTGCGTGCGACAAGTCCGCGACGTCCGCGAAATCTTCTCTCTCTCCCCATTCGAATTATTGTGTCGATACAGCGTGCGTTCAGACTCTCGGCAAACCGTCCTTGTATAAGGTTAATATCGTCTAATAAAGTGGTTGACTATTAATAAGAGGCGATCTTATTATTTCGTCTCATCTTGTCCGGTGTCGGTGTTATTGTTTACATTTGATTCGAACGCGCCGGTAATCCAACACAGATCGCGAATACTATAGAAGGGGCTATTCGTTGGCCGAGTTGTCTGCAGTGGCCGACGGAGCGCTGGCGAGCAAGCGCATCAGCGCCCCTTGCGGAGAATTCGCACATCTAAATTAGATCGCTGAGAGGACTCGGCGCATGCGTACACCGTAGCAAGGTGAGTTAGTGTGCTCGAAGCATACAGCTAACAGAGCACCGTTTGGCCGTATTGATAACTACAATTACCCGGGATTTGCGACTAAACGGTAGCCTGTTACAATATCTATAAGTCTGTATGGTTACGCTCCTTATATGGTCAAGAAATTAGACTCTTGTACTGACATGAGACAATCAAATAATAGGTGAGGTGGTGCCGTTTAATATATTAATTGATGTAAACAGATTGACGAGTTTAACGTGTTGCAGTAATTCAGTGAAATGAGAGACTAGCTCATAGGTAGGACCGTTACATGAGCGATGAGTTTTCTTATCTCTTCAATGAGTTCATCGTATTGTAAGTTTGAGGTTAATACGAAGTCTGGGTGATCTTGGCAGATTTATTAGATGTTATATTATTTGTAATAACAATCAATATTATTACCGTGTTAAATCTATTCCGTACTAAATAATTTGAAATTTAATAACTGATGTCAATTTTAATGACTTGTTCCACACAAAGCAAGAATGTTTTTCGAAAAATATAAAAATATTCAAAAACTAAAAGTCTGAAACTATTATTTATGATTTGCGAATTCAAAAAATCTTTTTTAACACACCGTCTATAGGAACAAAAAATTTTTTTTTTTCGAAAAAAAAAATCTGAAAAAATGTTAGATATTTTACGTAGGAATATAAACACTCTTTTTTTTATTCATTTTTTCAATTATTTGAATTTGCGAAGTTACGAAAAGCTTAAAAAAAGTGTTAATTTCCAGGAAAAATAGATGTAAATGCGTTAAATTTGATAAAAATAATTTGTTAATGAATGATTGAGATAGAACTTGACAGAAGCTTTAAAATAAATAAATTCAATGTTTTTTTCGATTTGTTTCGATAATTGGCATAAATTAAAGATAAGCAAAATTTTCTAGATTTTGCAACTTTGAATTTTCGTTTGTAAAAATTCGAAAAATCATTTTATTGTATTATATTCTTGATGCATACCATTTGAAAGCTCTTGGAAAGAGCTTCATTCCTTTGAGCTTCATTCTTAATTTCATCGAGGACTATCGCACAGTTTTGGTGATCATATATAATATGAATTAATTCCCATAACATCAAGCAAGGATAAAAATACTGTTGAGCAGTCAAAAAATAAGTCAATAATCAGAATGTTTATTAGAATATCAATATTGATATTACAAGTCTCGAGTTGCTTATGTTATATATAACATAACTATCAAATATACATGAAATCCATCTGCTTTATTTTTTAAAAAAGAAAGAAACATTTACAGTTGCGTGCATAAGTTAGTTCCCACCTTATACTAAAATTACCTAAATTTCAAAGTTTTCTAGTTCCATCTAAAATGGACATAGGAAAACTTACGACGGCCTACATATGAAATAAAGCAATATATTTCATAGTTCGTCGGTTTTTTGAATTGAAATACGCGTGTTTTATATTAAAAAAACTGATTCATTTTTATTTCATGTTTTACTCCTCGTAAAAAATACCTTCTAACTTTTCAACGAATCAGCTAATTTTAAAAAAATTAGGTGAAATAGTTGCGCATTTATCTTTTCTTTACAATGAGCTTAACAGGATTAATTTTTATAGAGCCAATAAAAACTTACGTTCATTTTTATGAAAATGAGATTACAATAATTTGAGACATATGAACATCTATTACACTTAATTAAAAAAAAATTGACTTACTAAGGAGTAAAAAACGAACAAAAAATGGTTTAGTTTTTTACTGTAAAAAACGCGATTTTCATTTAAAAGAAATTAAGGAAATATGTAAGGTATTGCTTTATTTTTTAAAATGGATCCCCGCAAGTATTTTTACGTTCATTATAGATGGAGCTAGAAATATTTAATTTTGAAGAATTCCAGTATAAGTTAAGAACTACTCGTAACTTATGGACGGAACAATATACGAGCTTCCGTAGTTAGGAAAACCGCGCTACGTCATTTGCCTTCCAAATTAATCGGAAAAATGTCAAAACATTCAAAACCAGTCGATTTGATTGACGTTTTGTGGTTCGATACACGCTTTATTTATCTATGAATAGACAATACTGTTGTATATTTTCTAAAATTTAACAAACCTTGTTTGCAATATAGCTTTGATAAATTCCAGTCTTACTATTTCATAGTACATAAATATTTCAGGATTTGTTGTAGACTTTTGTAAACTCATTTTTATTAAAATGCAGTATTTCTATGTGAATACAAATGAAAATTCTTTAATATTATAATTAAATTTAAATTATTAGCAGAAATCCTAAAATTCGACTTGCTTTCTTTTTTGCAGGTTTTGCAGAAGCAGCTCGTGGTTCAAGTATAAAAAGCAATAAAAAGATCATTCTTCTATTCCAATACTCAGGATGTAGTGTGAATATATTGTTAATATTTGTATTAATATTTATATAATAATATAATTATAAGCTTCTAATCATACTACTCTTTTATAAGATAAGAAAAACAAACGTATATGAAGTTTACAAATAAATTTTGTATAATGAACAATGTTTAATAATGTATAAAAATTGTATAATGGTTTCATTCTTTCGAATTATCATAGCAATAGCACAACTTATGTACGCCTGAAGCTTGACGTAGTTAGGATTTTAAAATATAATTAGAACTGTAATTTCTCCCTAAACTTTCTTAGAATATTATTATTTTTTTTGTTTCTTCTACTTGGCTCTCAAGATGGTGACGACACAAATTTTTATATTGGTGAAAAGATTTAATTTTGTCAAACCGGAATACACAAGTGGACGGCGACTGTGAGTCATCGGCGACAAGAGCGCCGATCACTTCCAGCTTTTCCGTTAAAGATAAATCTTGGATTAAATTTTTGGTATTCGAAAGTTATGCTATTTTTGGATTTTGTAAACATGCATATTTTACTTTTTTTCTTCATTTTTGTTATTAAAGAAACTAATTTATCTGAATGTCATCGTGTTCCACCTATAAACAATCTCTGTCCTAATATTAGACCCCATTATTACACCCGATATATTGTATACTGGACTATCGCACAGTTTTGGTGATCATATATAATATGAATTAATTCCCATAACATCAAGCAATGATAAAAATACTGTTGAACAGTCAAAAAATAAGTCAATAATCAGTAATATCAATATAAACAATCTCTCTCCTAATATTAGACCCGATTATATTACACCCGATATATTCGGTCGTACTCTGTTATAGTTTTTAATTATTTTTCGTAAAGTTACATTTTTAACCTTACTGATTATATTAGCGCACATTAATTTTTAACGGAACAAATATTAGGTTGAATAAGAAAACGCGTATACCTGTCTGCACATGTGTCACTTGATAGCGGATCAACGTTGCGCAAAGGGCGTGGTCGGCGAAGAAGCAAAGATTTGTGCGCCAGCCGCAAATCTTTCCAGCCTCGCTTCTTCTTTTCGTTGATTTTATTCGATAAAATCGCGATCCTTGATGCCCTGTTGAAGAGCTTTTCTTCACTGCCAAATTGTCCGCTCTACGACACGCCGAAAGGGGCACGAACTTTCACACGCATGAATATCTCTTGTAGATTCGATATCGTTTCGACGAGGATAGCGGAAAAGATGAGTTCGAGAAAACTTATAAGTTGAACGGTCACGATCAAGTATTAAACCTTTATTTCAGCCTTAATCTTTAATATGTTGCCTCTCGGGCGACACATATTCAAGTATAAAACAAAAGATTAAGGCCAGGCGAATGCAAAAATTCAAGTTGCGAGAGAGAGATTAGATTAGATTCGATTAGTTCGTTTATTGCGCCAATGAGGTGGAACCCCGTATGGCAGTTTAGAATTGTACAAATCAAACTTAACAAAATTTATAAAATGACAAAACAAGAGATGCAAGAATAAATATTCATGCATTTAACTATTTAAAGAAGATAAGTTTAGATCAATGCGTGAATTGTACGAGGTGAGTTCAAAAAGTAACGAGAATTTTTAAATTTCGCGGGTTTGGAGAGTCCGCTTGTATAAAATTTTTTTTTATTATGTTGGTACACATGCCCCTGAAGTACGATAAAATTTTCAGCAATATTCATTGCTTACTTTTTAAGTGGCAGCCGCTAACGTTAGACGTGTTTTTCGAGCTCGGCGATTTTCGTTTGTGAAAAAAAATGGATCAAAGAATTTGTATTAAATTTTGCGTAAAAAATGAAATAAAGTGTAGTAAAGTTTGTCAAATGTTAACAAAGGCATATAGTGAGTCTGCTATGAGTAAAGCAAGGATTTATGAGTGGTATAAGCGTTTCCAAGATGGCCACGAAAACGTTGAAGATGACGAACGACCCGAACGCCCAAGCACATCAACAACCGATGAAAACGTGAAAAAAGTGAAAGAAATGGTTATGAACGATCGCCGAATCACAATCAGAGAAGTCGCTGATGATGTTGGCATATCAGTTGGCTCATGCCATCAAATTTTTTCGAATGTTTTGGGTATGAAACGTGTGGCAGCAAAATTCGTTCCAAAATTGTTGAATTTCGAACAAAAACAGCGGCGAATGGAAGTTGCTCAGGAGTCGCTAAATGAAGTCAATAACGATGCAGAACTACTAAAACGTGTTATAACAGGTGAGGAAACATGGGTTTACGGATATGATGTCGAAACTAAGGTACAATCGTCCCAGTGGAGGCATTCTGGATCGCCAAGACCGAAAAAGGCTCGACAAGTGCGGTCGATGTGAAGGTTATGCTCACTGTGTTCTTCGATTTTAATGGCATAGTGCATTATGAATTCTTGCCACAAGGTCAAACAATCAATAAGCAGTACTACCTACAAGTTCAACGTCGTTTGCGTGAAGCAATCCGAAAAAAACGCCCGGATTTGTGGCAAAACAATTCATGGCTTTTGCACCACGATAATGCGCCTGCTCACACTTCATTGCTTGTTCGTGAATTTTTGGCCAAAAACGAAACTGTAACGATGCCTCAGCCTCCATATTCGCCAGATATGGCTCCATGTGACTTTTTTCTATTTCCAAAAATAAAGAGAACATTAAAAGGCCGTCGTTTTACAAGCATAGATGACATTGAAAGCGAATCGCTGAAAGAGCTAAAAGCTATTACAAAGATCGAGTTTCAAAAGTGTTTCGAGGATTGGAAAAAGCGTTGGCATAAGTGTATTGTATCCGAAGGGGACTACTTTGAAGGCGACAACATTAATGTAGATGAATAAATAAATATTTTTTTCATAAAACGAAAATTCTCGTTATTTTTTGAACACACCTCGTATGTACGGTGAGCAGCGAGTTTACAATGACATTAATAGTAAGGTGACTCAGAATATGTATATAAATATAAAAATAGAATAAAATATGTAACATATAATAAAGTGAAAATATATAAAAATACTATAATGGAAATAATAAAAGTAATAAAAATAATAAAAACAATTAAAAAATAATAAAAAAATATAATAAATAATAAACAATATAAAAAATAATAAAAACGCGATGGCACCTATTTTACAAAACGAACTGAAAAGAGGAGATGTAACAGGGGAGCAACGTGCATTTGGTTAGAAATAGCTAAGTTTGATTAGCTATTTAATGAACCAAAGGTTAATAGTAAGGTATTTGTGGGAGGTTAGATAATTTTGAGAGTGCGCAACTGGATTGATCTTGTTTGGTATATGAGTGTGATCGGACAGCGCAGGCACTGGCATTAAGTTTCCGCGAGTCGCCCTCTCAATTCATGCTTTAGCCTCATAATTTAAAAAGAGGTCACGTGTCCAATCCTTGAAGTCACAGATCCGATCAGTGGAGAACCGGGTCACTTTTAATGAATTGAGTATCGTCTGTGCAAAGATCGTAAATGAATGGTTCCAGGTCTCAGTTCGAGGAGCTTTATATTTAAATTCTGATGGTGGATGGCGACTTGAGCGCCGGATAATGACACTTGCAAGCAGGACAGATAGGTTTTTAGCTAGGTAGTGTGGCGATTTTCTAGACACTACAGAGTAGGCCAGAACGGCGAGGGCTCTATACCTATTCGGTGTAAGTGATAGCCAGCCTAGGGCTAATCTATGATGGGTGATGTGGCTGTTTAAGGATAGTGAAGGTATATATGGGATCCACCATATTACGAAGCGTACACAGACGTTTTGGGCAACTTATAGCTTAGACAAGTTCTCTTCATCGAGCTGAATGCAGACCACTGAGAAGTAGTCAAAATGTCGAAAAATGAGCTGCTCGAGAAGAACTTTTTTAAGTGTAGTGAAAAGAGACTTCCTGTGGAAGCGGAGTGATGCCGAGAGCCATATGCCCTCCTCGTAACGCTTGTGACATGTTCCGTCCAATTTAGTGTGGAAGTCAGTATCACGCCCAGGTTACGAGCGCTGGTGACATAATCGAGTGGAACCTCGTCAATCGTGATCTGCGCGATATCATTCAAAGTTTATAGCCCTAACGTACTGTTCGCTGTCCAGTATGACATTAGTCTTGGTAAGATTGAAAGAGATGCCGTTTCTTAGGGCCCAGTCCGCTATAGCCTGGACATCAAGCTACACCTTCTCCAACGCCTCCGCAAGGCTGCTAGGATGACAGTGATGATAGACCTTCGTATCGTCGGCTTACAGCATGTAATTCATGAAGGGGAGGACACAGGGCAGATCCGAGATATAAATTGTAAATAGCAATGATCCCAGAATACTACCCTGCGGCACTCCGGTAGCAGCCCTGAGCCAGGCCGATACCCTATCGTCCTTCCCCACAACGGCCTGAAACCTGTCAGTAGGATAGCTAAAAAACCAGCTCAAGACAGTATCAGACAGACTTAGGTCCCTGAGCTTGATCATCAGACGACCATGGGAGATAACGTCAAAAGCCTTAGAAAAATCCAGCAGGACGAGGATTGTAATTTTATGTTTCTCAATGGCCCTGCGGATGTCATCAAGGACGCCCAGGAGTGCAGTCTGAGTGCTATGAAACCTCACAAAACCGGTCTGCCGTGGGTCACGCAGCTTGTAGCGGTCCAGATAGGACGATAATTGAGCATGAACGAGCCTATCAAGCACCTTTGATATCTCAGATAACCTTGCTATCGGTCTGATGTCCGAAAAATAATAGGCGAAGGTACATTGGCAAGAGGGGTGATGAGAGATTGTTTACAGGAGGTTGGAAAAACGCCGCACGATAATGATTTGTTGACAAGATGCGTGAGAGACGAGAGACAAGTAGCAGAGACGAGTTTGAGCATCTTGACAGACAAACTATCGGGACCAAATGTTCTGGATGAGGACGAGTTTAGTGCTTCCATAACCTCCTGGTTAGCAATTCGAATGGAGAGGAGGCGTGAGGAACAGTAGGGGGACGCGCTAAAAGGGTGTCTAAAATGTCCAATGTCATGGGAGGAGATGAGTTGACTATGTTGGCAAAGTGGGTATTTAGTGTGGATGGAGAAAAAACTCGAAACAGGGATGGAAGAGCGCGCTTGGTGACTCCCAGGTTTCGTAACTCGCTCCATCTGGCCTTACTAATTCTTGCGGAGGACAGCTTGTTCGAGATACAGCAGTTTTTTGCTCAGTCGAGGGCATTTGAGACGTCGTTTCGAAGTTTTTGATACCTA